TGATAAATCCAAGTCTACTGTTTATAATATAATTAAAGAAAGAGTTCACATCTAAAATTACCCCCCCCCCCCAAAAAAAAAAAAAAAAGAAAAGAAAAAATAAAATAAAAGAGAGAGAGAGAAAGAGAGTTCACATCTAACTCTTCTAGATTATAGAGCTATGTTAAAATATCCTTTTGTATAAAATATATACGGTCACGTATGATGTGTAAATTTTTTCCATCTCCAACAGTTTGTTAAAAAAATAAAAGAGAGAGAGAGAAAGAGAGTTCACATCTAACTCTTCTAGATTATAGAGCATCTCCAGCGGTATGTTAAAATACCCTTTTGTGTAAAATATATACTGTACGTATGATGTGTAAATTTTTTCCATCTCCAATAGTCTGTTAAAATACATTGCCACATTATCATTGTGTAAAAGGGTTATGTAGACAACCTTTTTACACGACCAAATCAACATATTTCTTTTTTCATCCTTCTTTCTTATTCCATTAAAGAATCAACCATATATTAAGTAAGTTTGTAAAAATTATGTGGGTCATGACATAATACATGATTGATTGTTATTGGGATATATATTTTTACACAAAAGGTATAAAACAACCGTTGAAACTAAAATGAAATAATTCAAAATTTTTGTGTAAATCCATTGTGACACGTCAGATTTACACAAAAAAAAAAAAAAAAATATACACAACGGTTAGAGATGCTCAGAGAGACGTGATCCAAGTCTTTTCATTTAACACGTTGAGAAAGTTCCAATTTTAGGGCATTTGTTTAAAAAATAAAAGATTAAAGTTAAAGAAGTTTAAGGAAATTGTGGTATGTAAAAAGTAATTGGCTTCACAATTTCATTATGAATGTACAGCTATATACATGTTACAATCGGTGTATAAAAAGGAAAGAATATTCAACTATATCCACGTTACAATCAGTGTAAAAATGGAAAGAATATGCATTCAAGTGTATTTGATCAAGTGATGGCTATACACAATGACAAGATTTAAGGCATTTCCAATATTAAAATCAATCTGTACTAATCTCTTGAGTGAGTGGTGGATCTTGCTGGTTTTGATTTTTGATGAGGAGAGATCAAAGCTGAACGTTATCATTGATTGCAACAGCAGATACGCAGGATGGTGCTCCCATCGGAGACACCAATCTTGGAGCGAAGAAGAGTGAAATGAAGGCAAGGGAGAGGTTTGGTTAAGCATTAGCCAGTTGGTCGTTGGTGACAACATGAGAAACTTGAAGTTGGCCTTTCGAAACTTTGTCAAGCACAAAATGAAAATCAATTTCAATGTGCTTCATGTGGCAATTGAACATGACGTGTATGTGTTTTCAATGATAAATCGTTCACAATAGAGTGAATTCTCGTAGGATAAGGCTATGTTGAGGGTGTTGAAGCTAAATGACTGTATTTTCGATTTGATTCAAGAGAAAAGATATATTTGATGTTTTTCTACTTCTAATTACAAATAAAATTAAAACTGAAAATAAACCAAGTTAAATGGTAAGAGTTTTACAAGAGAGAAGACCTAGGGAATTGACTTCACTACTAACCTCCTAACAATGGCCAATTAGATTCGATTTAAGGAAATTAACATTATGTATAATTATGAATCATGTGGCTACAAGCACACAATGATAATGTCAAAATGATATATATATATATATATAAAATCAAGCATTAAGTATAAATCATCTTTGGTTGGCACAAATTGTCTACCTAACTACTCTAAATTAGGGTGTAACACAACTTGCCTTCCCTTAGCATGAACTATCAAAACACTTGTTTATATATTTAATGAAACCTGTTGCATGATCATTACCTTTACAATCTTAGAAAATAAAAGTAATTTGATTTCAATTAAAACAAAATCAATTCTAAGGCAAGATCATGATCATATTAGAACAACTAAGTCAACTCTCCAACCATGCAATCAATATACATATTAAGAAAATTCCTTAAAATAAATATAATTAGACCATGTTACTTGGATAGGGTTACATCAATTTTCTAAGGAATAATTTAGCTACTCATGGAGAAGGCAGAAAGCTTAACTTCATCGGTGTGGTGAACGCCATCTCCATGGACTGTAAATTGATCAGGTCACCTTCTCCAATGCTTGAATGCTCCCAAGCTGCCAATTCTCTCATTCTCTCTAAAATTAACCAAAATTAGCTTTTTTCAATTGTGAGTAATTTTACCCTAAGTCAGAGTCAAACGGGCTTAGTAAACGTCTTACCAACTTTGGTTGAGATCCGACCTATTTATGGAAAAGAATGAGAAAAGTTGAGAAATCCTGTAGCTTTTAGGATTTGAATCTGATACGCTTGCGATTGATCACAGTCAGTGTACGATCGATCGTTTTCCTAGCAGTACTCTGAGAAATTTTGCATAGCTTTGTAACATGAATGTGATCGATCTTTTTGGAGTGTGATCGATCGCAATGCTTAGACTCTTAAAATTCAATTTTGTTGTAGTTTCAATCGATCCTAGGGCTTTAGGATCGATCCTAATTTCCTGGAATATGATCTTATGCCCCTTTGGAGCTTCGAAGTAATCCTGAAGAATCTGGTACCCTTCTTGATCCTTCAAAACAACTTCAAAGGCCCAAATTTTTTTAGATTAAACCCCATTTGAAGAAAGAAATATGGCACCAACATTGTTGCAATGAATGGTAAGTATGGAGGAAAAAGATACACCAAGCTTACTAAGGAGTGCATGAACTTAAGAGAGCTCGACAGAGGTGGCTGTAACAACACAGTACTTGACTTTAGTAGAGGAGTGAGCCACTGATCGTTGCTTCCTAAAACTCTAGGAAATTGCATTGTCCCAAGATAAATGACATAGATAGAGGTGGAAGTACGATCATCATAATCCTGACGCTTGAGGAAGAGACCATGGTTAAAGGTGCCTTTGAGATAGCGGAGAAGGCGCTTAGCTAGTGCCCATTGAGTTTGGGACAGCTTATGTATGGATTAAAAGAGTTTATTGACTGGAAAGGCTATGTCAGGACGGGTGGAAGAAAGATATTGGAGAACCCCAATAGTGCTGCAATAGTTAGTAGCATCAACCATAAAAGAACTATCATGGAGGTGAAGAGGCTCAGTAGAGTACAATAAAGTGGAAACCTCCTCGGCGTCTTGCATCTTGGTGTGAGCAATATATTTGTGTCGAGAGAGAAAAAGTCCAGTTGGTGTAGAAATGACCTCCACACCAAGAAAATAATGAAGGGACCCCACATTCTTGATAGAAAATGGGTGAGAAAGATAAAGCACCAATATATAAACTTGGAGATGAAAGACATCTCATTGCCTGTAACAATAAGATCGTCAACATATAGAAGAAAATAAATGACAACATGATCATTGTGGTAGATAAAAAGAGAGGCATTTGAGTGTGAATGGATAAAACCATATGAGAGGAAAAAAGAGCATAACTCCTTATACAACGAATGTGGGGCCTGTTTGAGGCAATAGATTGCTTTGTGAATACACATGAGATGGAGGAGTATAATTAGCAAAACTTGGAGGTTGAGATACATGTAGACCTCTTCATAAAAAGTGCCATGAAGGAAAATATTATTGATAACGAGTTGACGGAGGGGCTAAGCTAAGGACCACACTAATGGTGGTGGGTTTAACGACCAGACAGAAAATGTTTGTATAGTCAAGGCATGGGCGTTGGTGAAACCCTTTGGCAACTAATCAAGCTTTGTACTGGTTAATACTGCCTTCAGGTGTACGCTTAACATGAAAAATCCATTTACATCTAACTAAGTTTTGGTGAGGACTAAAAGGAACTAGTTCCCAAGTACCATTATGAACCAAGGTAGTGAACTCATCGGATATAGCAGTGTGCCAATAGGAGTGACGAAGGGTTTAGGAGACACAAATGGGTTCAAGTGATATAGGAATGGGGAGTTTAGTAACAAAAGTATGTTTAGGTTTGAAAATATTATTTTGAGAGTGAGTGACCATCCTTGTGGACATGGGGAGAGGAAGAAAAGGAGAAGGGGGGAGGGGGCATAAATGGAGATGTCTAGCTCGGACTAAGGAAGTACCGTTACGAACTAAGGCAGTGAACTCATACAAATGGGTTCAAGTGATAAAGGAATGGCGTGTTTAGTAACAACAAAAATATGTTTGGGTTTGAAAATATTATTTTGAGAGCGAGTGACCATCCTTGTGGGCACGGGGAAAGGAAGAAATTATGGTGGGGGTGGGGGAGGGGGGGAAAGAGGCACAAATGGAGATGTCTTGAACAAGAGCCTAGACGGTGATTCTGGAATAATAGTTGGTGTCGCTGAAGTAGACCTAGAAGACATAGCGGAAGAGTAATGCATGACCGACACGGGAAATGTGAGGACCGGTATTCTTTTTCCTTTTTTCATTTTTCATTGTTTTCGTGTTCGGGTCATGTAGGCCCAAGGCGGGTCAATTGCTCGGGAATTTTTCTCAATCGGTACTATTTTTCTATTTCATTGGGACACATTAGACATACGTATCATATTTTGGGACATTAGCGTTATTATTCTTGTAAATATTATTTGCATTTGGGGTACGAGTGTGATTTGTGAGACTTGGTGTGACCCACTTTGACTTTAAGCTATTGTGTATGTGGTGTATATGTATATACGTGAGCTGAGAGAGATAGGGAAGAATTTTCACCATTTGCAAGAATATTTCGTAGAAGGTTTTAGCCGAGAGTATGATTGCTGCAATGTATAAACAGACATATCTGCAAGTAGGCAAATTTAAAGCACGTTTCTTAATGACATTCGATGCTTGGCAACGACTGTTATTGGATGTAGTCCATTCCCATTAACCTCAGTTTTACTCGAAATAGGAAAATGAGACAATTATATAAGGAAGTTTTTTTTTTTAAATTGAATTTTTAAAAAACAGTTTTAAAAATTGTAAACTAAACACTATTTTATACAATTTTTTAATTTTCAAAATTCAGAAACTGTTTTAAAAAAATTAAACACGCAATATAACTGATTCTCTTCTTTGCTCACTCTCTTGCCCCATTCATTCGTCACCCAAATTGAACACCCAAAAACATTATTTTCAATTACGAATAATGCTTGAAATTTATGATTAATTAAATATTGTGTACACTTCAAGAAAAACTCTCACATCAGATTTAGAACATCAAACTAAAATCACAAAAAAATAAAAAAATGAATGAATCAAACAATAAATAATCCCTCCTCTTTCTTATTCTTCCATGTGAGAATCTCTATCTTTGTTCCCAGAGTCAGCATAAGGCGAGACCAGACTCTCCATATATATAACCCATTCAAACCAGTCATCATTCCTAACCTTCAGATTCTTCATTGTCTTTTCATGAACATTATATCTTATAAGTTTCCTTCCATCCACAACAACTATAACCTCTCCATTCTTTGTAAAGCATATGGGCACCATGTAGTCACAATACCCAATATCTCTCCCCCTCACAACACTCATCTTCATCCAAGAACTCATCACACCATATTCCTTCATCACCCAAATCTCCACTTCAAGTCCATACCCATAGCAAAGCAACGAAAGCCAACCTTGTGAAACCCCCAAGCTATGAAATGAGATGTTCCTGTCGCGAGTCTCGGGTTGTGGAACCTCAAAGAACTCCTCCTTCGCCATATCAAGAGCAAGAATCGTGTCGCGCCCACCGCGGCTTGCTCTCCAGTGAAGAGCCCCGTTCAAGAATGTCCCGGAATCGTCCAAGATAGTAATGCTCTTATGGAAAGATTGAATCTGTCTCCAATTGTTGTGTTTTGAGCTGAAGACCTCGACTTTGACTTGGTCATAGGCACCAGCACTAGCACTTGCTCTTACAACTTTGTAGTCATCGTTAGAGGAATCATAACCAAGTCCGTAGAGGGACACAATATCTGACGAAAAGCTTGGTTTTGGTAGCTCCCTGGATTGTCTAGTGGATGGGTTCCATAAAATCGTGACATCTAAGGCACGATAGGCTAAGCTAATCAAGCCATTGCAAGACCCCACAATCTGAACACCATTTTGTGGGGCTTTAGATGGAAACCCTAGATTTACTATAGCATCATCATGATCATGATCATGATCATGATCATGATCAACAGCAACAGCCTTATCAGCAACATCATCACATGATGATGGTGACTCGTAGTCCAAAGAATAAAAGGGGAACAACGTGAATAGTCTATGGTGGTTCATGCTAGGATCGGAATTGGCTCGGTTGAGATGCATTTTGACAAAGTAAGGATCGGATATCAAAGAAAGCCATGGCTTGCAAACGCATTTGAATCGATTCAGGGACTTGACGGGTAATCTTGAGAGTATGTCTAACACGATGTCGTGTGGAAGGTTGGCCATGGCTAGCTAAATATAATTTTTCTGGATCTGTTATTACTAGTAATGACTAATGTTTTTAAACCCTTGATTGAGCAGTAGGTATATATAGAGGCACAAGACATTAACATTCCATGAAAGGTACATTGCACACGGCTATAATTTGGGTGATGAATTGAAGGCCCAAGTGGGCGTCGACTGAAGAAGATGACCGTGACTTGGTGCTGTTGAAGACTTGAAGCTTACGGGGTTCACCGCATGTGGTTTCATTTGTGGTGGGTGGGCCGGAGTTGTTTATAGAACTTGTCAATTGGTAGACTAAGGTGTCCAAAAAAAACAAAAAAAAATTAATAGACAAAGGCTGGAGACCTCGTGTGAACATGATAGCGGTCAAATTTGATGACACGCGTAAAAGCTTTGGAAGTTTAGCAGCCGTTTGGAAGAAAAACAAACCAGTGGAAATTACACAGAAATTGTTGGTCATGTTGTGTGGCACCCATGAAATCTAAAGATCGGGTTTCAAACGTCATTTTTTATATAATAATAGTCAAAGTTTTATATGTGAACAAAATATATTCCATCGTTTTCAAAATGTTCTTGGTTGGAAATCTATCTTTTTTTAAAAAATAAATTTTAATACCTTTTAATGGATAATACCTACCTACTCAGCTATCAATAAGTCATTTTTACTATGTTGTTCAATTATAAATATACACATAATCAATAATTACAAAATAAAAAAAAGTGATAAATAAAGACAATAATTTTATTTTTTGAAATAAATTCAAAGAAAATGATTTTTGCACTTAATAATTGCACTGAATTGCTAAACTTACTTTTTTTAATTCGTCAATTATGCAACAAATAAAGTAGAACTCTCCACTTAATAGTATTTGATATAAATAACTAATTAAAAATTATTGAGTTAGGTAATTCACTATAAGTGTTCGGTCACATATTCAACCCCGGGGCATATACCTAGAAGGCATCTACTAATGTATTAGCACCGGGCGTAGATTGTTTCATTCCCATCTCCTCCGGCCACTAAAGCCTTAAACCATGATCTCTCTTATCCACCTGATCGGTGAATAGGCGCCTTACTCATTTAGGGGGAGTACCACCTTTGCCCGAAAGAGATAGAAGTCCTCGCTAAATGATAGGAGTTTGATGCTCTCCTATGCGGGGAGAGGTGAGTATCACTACTCTAATTCAATCATCCTCTCTAATTCCTTATTTATCACTTTTTATGATTTTTTAATTACCTACCGTATCTACCATATGTTGATTTGTGATATGATCACATTGACGATTCTGAATTTGATAAAGTTATCAAAGAAAAAAAAAAAGAAAAAAAAAGAAAAAAAGAGTACTTAAAATTTTCAATGGGAACATTTACTTTAGGCTGGTTTAATTTATATCAGGTAAAAGGTTATTTTAGTACAGCTAAAATACAGAGTAAAAATGTGGATATTTATTTTGAGACTGGTGGAATAGTAGATTTAATTTATTGATTCTTTGTATTTGACATCCCGATAAAATAAATGTATTTTTTTTCTTACAATTTTTTCTTAAAAAACTATAAAAACGGAGACTAAATTAACAGTGTTATCATTTGGTCTTGTTTCTGAAATTGATATAGTTCTCGTAAAAGAAAAATATATATTTGCAGCCAAAAAGAACGAAATTCCCTACCATCGGTAAAATTACGACGAATTCAACAAAACATGATTCAACGAAAATTAAGGCATCAAGATTTTTTTCTTCTTCTTCTTGGAACTTAGAAAAATAAAATAATATGTGGTTTCAGGTCCAAGTCTACTCGTCATAAGTTAAAAGATGAGTAAAAAAGAGTTCACATCTAACCAGTCTTTTGGATTTAAAAAGTAGGAGAGAGAGAGACATGTTCAATTCTCTTCATCATAACACCGTGTCAACAAATTTCCAATTTTTAAAGGAAAAGAAAAAAAGTAGCAGGATGTATTCTTTTGGTCTACAAAAAGTCAACATGCAATATTTTCTTGATTCAATATAAAATTTAGAATTTCATCAAACCAAATTTGCTCTTGTAATGCATGTCATACAATATCAGACTCTACGGGCATAATAGAAAATTATATACAATGTTGAATGGAAATGTTTGAGAAGAAAGACATACATTAGGTGGAAGTGTTGGACCGGCAGACAGTGTCATTTTTCAACAAGAGGGATATTGCCGATGTATTTATATCAAATCTTAAGAAATGTCAATGTAAGTTTCTAGTCCACAAAAATCAAGGCAGTTAAATTAAATAGTTAGGATAAAAAAAAATTCCATTTTATTTATAGAGTAGAGATGAAATTATTCAGTTCAATGGTCTAGCGGTTATGTACATGTAACCATCAATGATGTTAATTGTCTCACTTGAAAAAAGAATTCATTGAACACTCTATCAAACTGTTTATAATTTAGACCAATAAAAATGAAAGAAAATAGAGAATTCAAATAAAATTATTCAACTTTACAAAACTATGTATGGAAATCATGTGTGTTATGCTATAGAAAAACATGAACTATAGATTTATTCTAGAAGTGTTAATCAATAACAAACGGTACTTCTTGTCCATTTTTTCGTCAACTTCGGCCTCTATCTCTTCTACTTTCTTCTCTATCTCTTTCACTTTCTCGGACCATCCCATATTTTTGTTTTGATGCATTGCTCAAACATCAGTTCAACTCCTTTTTTTATATTTGTTACAGTGACTCCATCCATTTATAGACTTCTACCTGGCAAATAAGTGGTTGAGATTAAATCAACCTTCTTGATATTTTGACACACCTTCAAAACTTCATAGTGATGTAAAATATTCTTTTCAAATCCATTGCATTCTATTAATATCTGACATATTACACATTGCTCACAAGCGGCCAGTAGCATGCCCTAGACTAGAAATGTCTTTGCTGTGGGGTTGGGCCCTGTTTTGTGATTGGGTTATTGTATGATGTGTTGATGGGGCTTGTCTACTATTCGTGGACTGGGTCCTTGCTTGGGCTTTGCTTGTACATTCTATTTCATATATATATTTTTACTTCCAAAAACAAAAAAGAATTCAAAGAATTCATTGAACACTTTATCAGACTGTTTATAGTTTAGACCAACGAAAATGTAAGGGAATAGAGAATTCAAATAAAATTGAATCAAAATTCACAGCAACTACTCTTTATATTGGGAAACGTGCTAGTTTTAAAAACTTTTCGAGGGATTTAAATTCATAGATCTTGATTCATTACATAGAGACAAGTTTTATGTAAAAATAAAATATGATGTATCACTCAATTAAAAGATTGAATACTTACATCAAGGTTTGAGTAAACCTTAGATCTCTCCTCTAAAGTGAATGTTCTCACTTATTGTAGATCCCTTAGCAAGATGCCTTCTTATTGGATCTCCATCTTCTTGGTAATTGTTTTGCCTTTAGAAATCACTCATAAGTCTCCATGAATGACCTTGGAAAACTAGGCTTGTGGGAGCCTCCATTAGATGAGAACATAAATCCTAATTTTCTAGAGAGAGAAAATAAATTCCTTTTTCCTTCTCATTAAAAATTACCCCTAAAATATACATAGACCATGTATATTTATAGGCAACATAAAGGTAAAGAAAAGGAAACAACTAATCCTTCTCAATCTCTAATTCACATGTCTCAAATCTAATATGATTCCAATATCAAGTTGGGCTATGAGTGAGAATCCATTGGGCCTATTATTTTATTGGCTACAATGAATTAATAATTGGCCCGATCCATGGACCCAATTCAATTAATTCATAAATTAATTTCTACTCCACTAAAAGAAATTAATTGAACTCCAATTAAATAATAAATAACCTCTAAGTCAATATTGCACTTTGACCCCTCTATGCATAATTAGTTATCGGATAAATAAAGCCATCAATCCGACTACTTAATTAATATATTTATTTTGGTACCTTTGATTATTTCTGGCTCGATCACAATAAAACATTTGTTTGACAAAAATAATAATTTAAATAAATAAATATATATAATAAATCATTTTGTCTAAAAACACACGAAGGCCTTCGAATTTACTTTGTGATCAACCATAATCAATACAAAATAAATACAAGTAGCAATGATGCAAATATTGAAAATATAGCCCTCTAACTATTAATTACATAACTACCCAAAGTGTCGGTCTAAGGATCCCGAAGAATCCGCCGAATAAATCAAAGTAATTATTAATTAATAAAAGAGTCTATAATTTTCTCATACTTAAGAGTCAAATGCCATGACGGTGATAGGGATCAATTGCATACGACGACTCTCGCAATATATCTCAACCTAACGCGGATCCAGTTCAAATCTTAATTAATTATGAGTCCATCTATAATTACCTACTATGAACCATTTATGATTACTATTTATATATCATGCATTGATTGCCATCACAAACATATATATAAATATCTCTTGTAATCAAATGGACACTATCAATTCTATAATGAATCGAAATATAATACATTAAATTCACCAATTGTATAAAACATAAATATTTCATAAACGTCAGGAACATATGTCACTTTAATCCAAACAAGAATTTGCTATGCCAGGGCATATAAATTCCAACACTTTATTCATAAAAATTTAATCCATTTAAACGTACAACAACAAACAAGCGCTTTTTTTTTTTTTTTTTTTTTTTTTTTTTTTTTTTCAATTACCTAGAGCTGTCTGCATTATTGCCTCAATTAAACAATCTGTTAATTGTCAAATAAATATTGTGACTTTTATTGGGAAATATCATTGAAATAAACATGGATTTTGAAATATATAAATGGGATTTAACCCAAATTAAACTATCTCTAGAGTACAAGTCCATAGCAAAATTTCAAGGATATAGTTTTCACTATTTGCAAGTGCCAATTACTAGTCATGATTGCAGCAACAAATAAACAAACAAATCTGTAAATAACAAGAAAATGGCCATACTTGAGAAATATCAGTATTAAAATATCAGTATACTCGAACAACATTGAAGTGAACTTCCAGTGTCATTATTGCAAAGGTATAAAAATAATATACCCTCAGAAAAGACACCGCCCCCTTATGTTAGTGAACAAAACCCATCAAAAACTCTTGGCAATCTCAATTATTCCCAAAAAAAATAGTGGAAGTAAAATGTTATCGGAGGCCATGCTAAATAATTCAATTGACATGAGAAAAGTAGGCCAGTTCTTGAATACAAGTAAAACAATTTCCCCATGTGCGACAAAAGAAATTTCATTTTAACTCTATTCCTTCTCCAATATAAATTGATATGCGTATTTATCGTATCAAGTGACTTCGTTAATAGAATTCTATTTTTCTTCGTGATATAAAAGTCAACGATCCTCATGCTAAAACGCACTGCCTATTGGTGGCATTTCTTGACGCTTGTTGGATCCTACCTTTGTTAATTTTATTTAGTGATCTGTTTTCAGTCT